GCGCTTCGAGGTCGTCTTGCTTTCGCTCGACGACTCGTTTTCCGCCGCGGTCCCGTTCAACGATGGACAACTGGACGTCGACAGAGGCGGCTGCGGATCGTCAAACATGGCGAACCACGAGTGCTGAAGACATTCCGTGACGGTCAAACGTTCGCTGAAACACGAAGGAAGATTCGATTAATGTTTCGATCACGGGACATCTCTCGATTCGGGGCGATCGCGGTAATTGCGTAACGTTGAAACTCGCGAGGAAAGACGGAAGAAAAAGACGCGCTAAGGTGGGAGAGGAAAGTACGCGGTACTCGCGACGATAAACCGCGTTGGTAGCGAGATAAGCACGCTTTCGCGCTGGAAGGGCGAGGATATTCCCGGATGGAGACTTCCTCCCAGCTGTCCGACCGGTCGAAGATAAGGAAATCTACGAGTTTTTCGACGGAACTCGCTCGATGTGCCGACGCGTTCCTCTTCCCGTTTCGAAGAAAGTAGTCGACGTTGCCGTCACCCGACTCGAAGGCACGCCGATCGCTTCGCTTCCACGTAAACGCGGCTACGGACGCGACCGAGCCTGACGATCGGGTTTCGAGAGGCGGTTGCCGTGACCGGCTGAATTACGTCAACGGCGAATTTCGACGCGAAACGCGAATTTGCGATTAACCGTCGCGAGACGGTGACGAAAGAGCCACGGATAAGTATTATCGGGGAGCGGATTACCGAGAATTCGGGCACCGGTGAAAATAACGCCTTCGAGGAAGCGTGCGGTAACCTACCAGGAAGGTTTACCGCTCACGGCTTACTTCGAAGCGAAAGAAGATAGGTCGACGCGTGGATCTCGAGAACATCGTTCGTTAGGTGGCGTACGTTTGCATTATTTAGGTTCTAGGAACGAAAGCAATCGTCGATGCGACGATCGTGGTTATCGCTTTTATTCGCGAACCGACGACGAGCGACAGCGCACGTTACTCACTTTGGATCCTTGACCATCAGCTTGCGCATCAGATCGCGCGCCTCTTCCGACACGTCTTCGAACAGGTCGTCGGGGAAATCTAGGCGACATCGGCTAATGTTGCAGAACGTTTCCTGCTTGGTGTCGCCGCCGAATGGAGAGCATCCCGTTAGCAACACGTACAGCAAAACTCCGATTGACCACATGTCCGTCGCCAAGCTGATCGGCTCGTAGTTTAACACCTCTGGCGCTGAAACGAGCACAAAAGGCGACTTGTAGAGAATACGGTAGTCTCGCGACGCGTAGGTGGAAGAGACGAGTCGCGATCAAAAGAGATATTTCTTCTCTCAAAACGCGGGACGAAGTACGAAACGAGCCGATCGAAGATACTTACCGACATAGTCGGGCGTGCCCAAGATCTCCCTTATGTCCGCACCGTGACTGATATATCGCGAGATCCCGAAGTCGCAAAGCTTCACGTCGCAGTCGGGAAACTCGCCGGTGAGGACCAGATTCTGAGGCTGAAAACAAACGATCGGGAGAATTAAATACGTCCGTATTAGATTTCGTCCGCCGACAGCTAACGGCGGTTAACGAAGACAAAGGAGCTCGTTATCTTATTTCGTCGCAACGCGTAATTGCTCGCGATTCGTTCGACGCGATGCGATCTCTCGGCTCTAGCCTAAGCTCCCCCGAGGGCGAACATTGTTTCATATTTTATCCGAGAGACGTTTACAGCGAGAATAAATTATTTCGGGCGATCTTGTCGTCGCAATTATCAGGTGGCCAGCAGCGTTTGATAGCAGGGACGCGCATGAGAAACGTGTTCCCGGCAAAAGCGACCGGACGCGACACGGTGGCAGCAGTTGCTCGCAACTTGCATCGCCGTACTTTTTTCCACGGCTCGTAGTACGTGCACCGGTGTTTCAGCGATCATTACATGCCTCGTGCCTACACGATGCCACTTAATTAAACGTATTTAATAAACGACGATTCAGCGGAGCGTTCGTCACGTAATCGAGGCAATTAATCGTATCGCGAGTGCATGTACCGGACATTTTTTTCCTCTTTTCTCGTACATCCTTTCTCAGGCTCGTCGAGGTTGCGAGTAATTTGAAAAAAAAACAGAAAGGGACCAAAAAATGAGAGGAGCATGGGTTCGTTCGTGACGCGAGAGCGTAATAAAATGTGTACGCGAGCCTCGACTCGAGATCGCGATCTGAAGAGGAAGCGGGTCGCGATCGGTCGAATTTCGTGCGGGGACCGTTCGCGAAGTTTCGATAGAAAACGAACGACCGGTGAGTCCGGTTCGCGTCAGGATAATTATCCGTTCGCGAGCGGCGCCGAGGGGAGTAGATCGAAAACATCTGCTCGTAGGTTGCGAGCGGAGAGCCGCCGGCTGTGGTAGGTTTTAGAGCGCGGTGACGAGCACCGTGGCTTTTTCTCGAGAGCTCGCGTTACAAGAGCGTAGTTAGCGAACGTTAAGCGTCCCGTTGGCTACGCGCGGTGCCACTTAATTAAATGTATCGAATAAACGACCTCTCCTCTCGTCCGTTCGGTAGGTAATCGGTGCAATTAATCGCGATACACGAGTACTTTGTTCACCTGGTCAGCGCAACGGACATTTAATAAACTCCGCGATAATAGGTGCCTCCTCGAACCCTATTGCCTCGTTAGGCAACGAATTTTGTTTGATCGTCTCGAGGGGACGGAAAGAGACGGCGATCGAGCTAGGCCGCGTCGCGACCTTCTTTATCAGCGATCGTTTACATCCGCGTATCGACGCTTCGAGTAAGTAATCGCGTTCGGACGAGACGCCCACGCGCTCGTTCGCGTCTCCGCTCCTCTAGGCGCCCACGTTTCCGAACCGCCGCTGAGCGAACTCCGCTTCACGCTGCGAAATTTCTCAACCGCGTTTCCAACGTAAACACACGAGCCAATCGACACCTGCGGTGAAACTGTCGAGGTCACGAGGCGCGCCAGAAGCGGTTCGTTCTCAACGAACAACGTTATTGGAACTGGAAATTTTGGTCGAGGTACACAACGGAGAGAGTAGGATGGACGTCGTGCGCGTTCCTACCGCTCGAGGATTCAGTTTGTACGTTACGTTTCGTTATACCGAGTTACGAGTCGAACGTGACCAGACTGCATCGCGAGGTACTCGACGTCCTACGAATAACGCTCGTGATTTAAAAAGTGCTTCTGTAACGTCGAGGTCGTGGGACGTTTTGTTCGTGTCCCCTTCTGCTTACCAGCCGGTTCAAGCCCGTCCAACGAGTCCTACGAAACGCTATCCGCGCTACCCCTCTGCTTTTCGCTTCTCCTTTCAACTTTTTACCCGGCCGATCTTTAACCCGTTCGATCGGGACGAAGAAACGGGCGAGCACGGACGACACCGTTCCAACGGAAAGAAGGAGAGAAACGACGACGCTTTAGGAGTGACCGTTGCTCGACGAGACTCGACAGGCCGGTTTCGAACCGTCCGAGTGCCGGAAGTCGTTCAATAAGGAACAAAGACATTTCCATAATTTACCATTACGAGGTTCCTGCGTCGCTCGTCTTCTTCTGAACGTTCTTCTCGGACCTGGTCGCGAATCGCGTAGGCGTCGCGATCGATTACCGAGAACATCGTCGCGTGCTTCGTTCGTTTCGACGGAAAATTTCTCCACCGAAATCGCGACGAGATCGTTCGGAAGAACGTATCGTAAACAATGACAGAGCTTGTCGAACATTTCGCACGATCCGTAATTAGCTAGATAAGAGCGAATGACGAGTTTTATTTGTTCCGATTCCGTCGAAAACAAGTTGCACGCGAACGCGAACGAATTTTCGCGATGACGAACGCGCCTGGCATTCGGAGCGCGAAATACACGGTAGAAAAAGCGTGTGCGCGCAGTTGGAAGGCAGAACGCTTTTTAACCAACGGACAACGAATTGATGAGTATCCGTCTCTCGCGTTCATTGAAACTTCCGGCGGCTGAGAAAGGGGGAAGCGTTCCACTACACTGTACGCTCCACGCTCGACGGTCAAACACCAGAACGCGTGCGCGCGCGCGTGTTCGCGTGGCGTGAACGCGATGCTCGGAGTTCAGGGGAACGAGCAGCGAGAGACGGTTGTCCCGAGAGGTCAGCGGACCGGCTCGATCCGCGCGATACGAAAAAATCGGCTATCTCGTGAACGTCGACGAATCGATTTCGTCGAAGGCGTGCAACGGCCACGACGGAAATGGAATTCTCGGTACACGTCGCTGCGGCCACGTATCGAGGGAGTTCATCGATGAGACGGACTCCCTTTCTCGACGGAGGTCGATCGCCCCCGTTCTTCGGGAAAAAAATCGGCGAAAAGTGCGCGGTCGACGGTAGCGAAAGAACGACACTCGTACGCCAATTTCGAGTAACGCGATTAACGCGAGTCGACGATTATCGATGCGAGCGAGAACGGAGGAGAGTAGGCGCGGTCTTTGGCGCCAGTTTAGATATCGCGTCGTCTCGAGTGGATCGACGACGACCGTCTGATCGTTTTCCTGTTCGTTGGACGAATGCACGGCATTCCACGGGAGTTGTAACGCGCTCGATCGTAAGTGCGATAGCGCCGTTGGAAGAGTCGAACGATCGACACGGAGAGCAGAAACTCGCTTGTACGATCGAGAGACGTACGGTGGCGAACTCGAGTTTCTATCTATTCGGTCGGCGCCCGAAATCTCGTGGACGTCGGCCAACGAGGCCTCTTGGAACCGCGCCAAAGAATTCCCAAAGTGCATTTTTCCATTCATAACCGCGAGATCTATATTTGGGTCAGGCATATCGCGTGAATTCGTGGCACGACGGTATTTTAAGAGCGAACCGGAGGCGTGAATCGGCCGCGGAGTAACGTCCGCGTCCGTGTCCTCTCGAGTTTCGTCTGGCGAGCGTTCGACGATCCGTGGGGATCGATGGACGCGCGAGAAACGACGATTACTCGGTAACGCGCACGCCAACCAGAACGCGTCGAAACGGAAAGTCTGAAAAACGTAACACGATTTTTCCTTTCTAATCGGCCGCGATCGTTTCCATTCGGCCACGCTCTCGCGATCTCGAACGGCGATACCGAAAACGAACGAGGTCAACGATTTAAAAACGCGTTCTTACCGCTTCGACAGAGAGAACATTTTCGCGGCGTAACGACGCTTTCGCGTAAAGCTTCGATTCGGTTCAACGATACATTCCCGCCGCGTGGCGACGTTAGCGCGTTTAATCGAGTCGTTTTGCGTATCAGCGCGCATAAAATTATCTTATCGCTTGGAAAACATCGCGATAATTCTGGCGTATGCGTAATCCTCGGTGGTATCGGGACAGAAAAGACCCGATAACGGTCGGTGTAAAGAACGTTTAAAACGCGGCGCACGACGCGCAAAAGCTAAATAGTTTTATCGCGCGGTCGTTACGAAATGAAATTTTTCCGGTAATTCGATTCGCCGTTGGAAGCGGGCGGCGTCTCGTCTCCGCTCCGCTCGTAATTCAGTCGCGTAGGTACCCGACAACCTGCATCCCCGCAAATTGCTATCAATTTGCGAAAGCCGGGTAATTGGGTTGCATAACCGCGATCATAATCCGAGCCGTGTTAAGCGGAATAAAAAAGGAGGAGGAAGGCTGAAATACGCGAGCCGGCGCGTGTGTCGCCGAGGGAATATTATTAATACGACTCGTTCGCCTTGGCTCGCCCATATCGATCACGCCGATAATCGATAAACGCGTACTATGTTATATACCTACGCTCTGCCCTGCGTCGATCACGCGTCGCCGTGTCGCGACGTCGCGGTGTAGCGGTATCGAGCCATGCGCGTTGCAAATTGCGGATCGTTTCCATTGCCAAATAAGAAAAAACTGTGGCCGATCGGCGAGCAAACGGGCCGATCGATCGATCGATCGACCAACGGGCCGCGTGGCGTATCGCATGCAGAGCGCTCTTATCTATCGCTCGGAAGACGTATCGCCGATTCGCGACGCTTAGCGTAATTTAAACCGATTTATTGGCAAAATCGGTTGATTTATCGTCGCATAAAACCGGGACAATTATGCAAATCCGCGTCGCCACATCGACACGTTTGACACCGTTCTGTACGCGTCGAAAATTTATCGACGCGAGGATTCGTTCGAAGCTTTTCAACGGCGCGTCGTAACCGCGCCGG